CCAACCTCTCCTGTTATTTGTGCAGGGTACTGATTGAATAAGTATGCTGAAAGGATATAATCCTCACAAACTGCTTTCCTGATTTAAAACCATGCAGAATCTTTGTCCGGTTTGAATAGCTGCCTCTTGGTTCATGTATACATTTCCTATGAGCACAATGAAATGTTCTGGAATTCCTGTTCTCTCAATGTTATCCATAGTTTGATAGGATCCACATAGTCAAATGCCTTTGCACACTCAAGAAAACACAGGCAAACATCGTTCAGACACTCTTCTTACAACGAAGATCTATCCGATGCCGGCAATGATATGTCACATTCCACCCCCTCTGCCGAATCTGGCTTGAATTTCTGGAAGTTCCTTGCCCATGTTCTGCAGTAGCATTTTGAAGTATCTTCAGTAAAATATTACTAGCATGTGACATTAATGATATTGTTCCATACTCTCTGAATTCTGTTGAATCTCCTTTTTGAAAATGGCCAGCTCGAGATCTGCATACATTTCCTGAAACATTTCTATTGGTCTTCTAACAATTCCTGGGGCTTTGTTTTTCACCAAATCCTTCAGGCAGCATGGTTTCTTCCTTCAGTGCTGCTGCTTCTTGACCACCAGCTACTTCCTGAAATGGTTGACCATCGGTGAAGTCTTTGTAGTATAGTGACTTTGTATACCATCTATTTGTATTATTATTATTTAAACGAATGAGTCCTTATGGAGTTGCATTTGTTTGTAGAAACATCTGATTTGGTATTTTGTCAGTTCCTGGAACCGTGCTTTTTGCCAATGCCTTCAGTGCAGTTTGGATTTCTTCCTTCAGTACCATTGGTTCTTAATTGATTATGTGCTACCTCCTGGAGTGGCTATCATAATAGCAAAATAATATAGCTTCAAAAACCAGTACTTACTCTTTTTATTTGAAATGCCTGCAATCAAATTGGAACCAAGTATCTGCTGGAAAGAAGCTTATATTGAAGCCATTATAATAAAACTTTTTCATTAGAGTAACAGAGAATTAACTATTTTAAGCACTATAGTTTGTAATGGAAGAAAATTGACAAAATTCCAAATATTGCCTTAACTATATATAGTAAGCATTGATCTCTTGGTGGAGCTGTCAGTTAAACATTGGATTGCTAACTGCAAGAGTAGTGGTTCAAATCCACCAGCTGCTCCACAAGAGAAAGATGAGGCTATTCATTCCTGTAAATATTTACAGCCTCATTAAGCCCTTTAATTTAGGTTCACATGAATCAAATTGACTTGCTGGCACTGGGTTGGCTATAGTAACTATATGCTAGTGAAGTTAGTATCATGTTGATGTGGATGTGTTTTCTGCACAATACTCACTGCACTTGAGTCAGCCCTGACTCCTAGGGACCCCTGTGGGTTTCTGAGAGTGTGACTGTTTACAGGGGTAGAAAGTTCAATCTTTTTCACAATAGCTGCTGGCGGTTTTGAACTGCCCACCATGCAGATCTCAGCCCCATGTGCATACACTACACCACCAGGGCTCCATTTAAACAAAATAAATAGTGTTCAAATACATTTGTTAGCTCGATCTTTTCTCTTTTATTAATAGTGACCCCATGTGTCAGAGAAAAACTTCAAAGCTATGCTCCAACTTTTTGTCCTAAGCACCAATCTTTGGGCTAGGGGCTCAACTTTTGAATAATATTTAAACACAGCTATTTAATGTAAAGATAGATTTTTATCCAAAATATCTTGTTGTAGGTTCACACAAATCCTGAGAAATGTTATTATTGGACTAAGGTTACAGGTGGCAAATCTGGGCATGAAAGTCAGATTCTAAATTCATTAGTGTTGATCAAGATATATGCACAGGGATCAGCAATTAATAAAAGATTAAATTATAAAAACATCGACCATATAAAACCATGTCCTAGAAAAATACTATATCCAAATATAGTTCAAAAATAAATGATTCTGCTTGTTGCTGCAGAATCTAATACAAATTGATAGTAACTAAAACAAGGTTTGCAAATTTTCCTTTAGATGACAGAGTTAGCTTCCTTCCTGAGAGAGTCACCTTTTCCCAAGAAGTCTACTGCAAGGACCTTCGGCTCAACTGATAGTCACAGAGTAGTGTCACAGTGTGGTAGGGCAAAATGGAAGCCACAGTTACTCGCACGGATGTCATGCCTGTGCTGCTTGTCCCTAGGGACAGGCCAATTCTACGTCACCAGACCTTACTTCGGAGAGGTTTCCCTCAGTGTCTCTGATGAAGAGCACATCACAGTGTCACATTCAAGTTGAACACAGGCATCTGCTATATGACAGTAATGGCCTTGAAAACCGGGGAACCTCAGATAATCTCGGCTGGCAGAGTCTCCACCACATTTTGTTTTATTTTTTTTGGACCTCTCTAAAAAGTCTTTTGGAGGCATTTAATTAGCAACTAGCCATTCCTGATAGCTAAATTTACTAAAATTAACAATTTGAATACCTCCTCCCCCCAAATTAATTTAGTTAAATCCTCAGAGAACAGCCATTGCCTGTGTGATGACTCTATTTGTAGTCTGTAAACCTTCTGGCCTGGAATTAACATTTATTGAGTATAAATGTGCTGTGTGTACATCAAATCATCCCATGTACTATCTGCACATAAATTTATCCATTAAGTTTGATAATAGCCCTAAAAGTTAGGTTTTATGATTCCTATTTGGAGGTGAAATAACTGAAGCTATGGCTTAGAGTTTCATTTACCTTACCACAGGGTGCAAAATATACAGTGTGATGGAGTGAATGAATTAATTCTAGGGCAAATGGAACCACTGATAATGTGAGAATTAGTTGTGTGGAAAATTTAATGTATTTGTGCTTAAGCTTGTTAAAATCACACACTTTAATTGTACATTTAACTGAGCTATTCAAGTTGGAATGTAACAGAATTAACAAATACAAACTACATATTGATCAAGAGGTAATGCTTTTGTATTTTTCAGTCAAGGCAAAACTCCAAAATAGAGCAAAAATATGTTCTCAAACAGACGAGAATAGTGAGTGAGCAGTCAGCAATGGACTTATCAGGCATATCATAAAATTGCACTTTTGGGTAAAATTCTATAAGTCGGGAAGATTTCTTATATTTTTGCCACTAAATATTGGCTTTATGAATGTACAGAAAACTCTGGAGTTGATTGTTCAAATTACCTTAAGAAGACTCTCAATTAATGACCTATTCACAATTTCCTATATTTCAATGTAAGAAAGTAAATTAACAAATTTTCATTAGGCAGAGAATTTTATAATTCTCAGAAATAAAATTGCATTTTTAGAAAATATCAAGAGAAAGAATGGAAATCATATTTTAAAATGTTGTTTAAGTAATAAGATGCTATTGGGCAAAAGTTACTGACTGATGCCGTGTCTATAAAAGTTAAAAAGATCAATGTTGACTTAGTTTTCAGAACACTTTGCTGTTTGGGCTAGGATGGAGCGTACGTCTTGACGCAAACTTAAAATCTGAGTTACTGAAATTTTTCCATCTATCAAAATTTTAGAGTGAAATTCATTTAACCAAGATATGAATGATGAAACTTTTGAATAATCCGAAGTGCCAGGTACCAATTAAATCTTGGAAAGTTAATTAAAAGCAAGACCTAACCTCTGTTAGCCTTCTAATCACAGAGTCCTTGCATAAATGGCATCTCAGTTAATCTCCAAAACAATCTTTTTATGATAAAAATTGCTATACTTTTTTTCAGGTGAGAAAATCAAGATTCAGACTTATCAATAGTTTCCATAGCTATTGGCAGTGTCAGGCTTAAAGCTACACTTGTTTATGCTCAACAGTGTTGTCCCTCTCAGTGGGTACTGCAACTCCTGACTGGTTCCCCTCAGAGAGAGGGTGAAAGTTCATTCTGTCATCAGGAATCTCACTGACTGAATAACCTATGAAAATACGACATGAACTTTCCCGATAGAGAGATATTGTTCTTTGTACTGGTGTGTGCATAAAAGTAGATATCTTGCCCTTGGATTCACATTTTGATGAGTCCATCATTTTCTGTTTGTTTCTGTAACAAATTACCACACCATACACTCAGTGGTTTAAAACAACATATGTTTATTAGTTGACAATTCTGGCAGCCACAGATCCGAAATGAGTCCCCCAGGGCTAAAACCAAGGTGCTTCGGGCTGTGTTTGTTTTGGGGTTCCGTATATATTCGAGGATAAGCCGACCCAAAGATCAGCTGAAGCACCTAATTTTACCACAAAAACTGCACCAAAAATGTGCTGAAATACTTGGCTTATACACGAGTATATATGGTAGTCTGTTTCCTTGACGTAGCTGACTGCTCTCCTTGACCCGTGGGCCCGTCATCCGTGCGACTGGTTCTGTTTTCAGGTCTCCTCTGACTCGGACGCTCCTGCCTCCCTAGTTCCCGGGTGAGGACTCAGACGCGTGTGCATTACATTGGGTCCACTTGCTAATAAGAGATCATCTCCTGTCTCGAGATCCATAATTTAATTACATTTTACCCTTTTACCATAAAAGGTAACATTCACAATTATTGGGAATTAGATCATGGACATGTTTAGGAGGGGCAGGGGAAGCACATTATTTTGCTGTCGACAATCACCAGGAAAGGTACCTGATTCTTTTGGTGTGGAGGTCTCAAGGAGTCAGCGTGGGCATTCTGTGATTTCAAAAGGGTGATTTTATGTCCTAACTTGTTGACACTTCTGTTTCCTAGTGACAAATTCAAGCATGTTAGCAGCTAGCCCTACCAATTTTCTTTGCTCTCTAGCCCCAGTTCATTTAAGTATAATGCTTTTATAGGTAGCAAGAGATAATGTCTCGTTGCACATTGAAAGGATTCCCAGTTCATTTAAGTATAGTGCATAGAGGACATGACGGGCATTTTTCTTTGCCTGTTGAAAGAATTGCCAACTAAAACAACCAATATGGGCAGCACAATGTTCTTGTTGCACGTGATGCTTTAATTGTTGTATGACTTTTTATTTTTGTTTGAAGTCTCCAGAGCCAAGACAAACCATCTTGATGTCCAGAGATGTGTTTGTGGAGAGAATGAAAGAAATTATTGGTTGGGGCACGCACCAAGACTATCAGGAGCTCTTTGACAAAGTGGATGTGACCCAAGAGGGCTTCATTAATTGGGACAAGCTGAACTCATTTATCCTGGTAGCGCTCTATGAAAAAGACGAACGAGCAAAGGCTACCGTGGTTCCCCAGTGGAATGCCCTTGAATTCCTCCCAGTGAAACACAAGGACACCATCCAAAAAGTAATTTTCTTAAAAAGTTCAAGCCGTTATCTGACTATTAGTAAGGATGGTTTACTAGGATTCTGGGGAGAAAATTTAAAGCTGCAAGAAATGCTTCCCATCACTTCAGATGCTACCAAGCTCAAACACCTGTGGGTGACAAGCCTCGTTTCTCTGGAAAATGTAAACAAGGTAGGAAGCCTTTATAAATACATCTATTAAAAGGGGACAAAAGGGTGGGATAAGACATCCGATCAATACACAAGTTTGGCACTAGCAAAAGCAGAGTGCTGAATTATTCGTTGGGGGCCTGTTGTCTGACCCAGAAGGAACACAAGTAGAGCCAAGTGAGCTACTCATGTTTTTTCAAGGTGTTCTCTTGGGTGTCTTTTAATGACTCTGCTGATAATGACTCAGATTCTTGGCGCCGTCCCCAGTGTGGCCATGCTGCATTACTAGCTGACATGACCTTTACCACTCTGTAGTTTGCAGCAGGATCAGGATCTATATGCAGAGCTGAGAGGCTATTACAGTACATGGCACAGCTCCATGCAATTAAGAGCACTGCTTATCTGATTTTGATTACTACATTAATCAGGTTCTTATTTCTGATAGGTAGGGCCCGCTCAGTTAGAATATTTTCATCTAACTATACCCAGGAAAGAGATTATATCCTAAAAAGAAGACAGAATTGTCTTTGGTATTGTTATTGTTAAAATTTCATATTAGGCAGATGGTAAATTTTTACTATAAAATTTTAAAACATACACAGAAGCAGAGAGAATAATATTAAGAGTGTGATGTACCCAATGTTTCCCTTTAATCATTTTAAAGTCATGGTCAAATTTGTTTCATTTATACCTTCCCCATATTAAATTCTAAAACATCTAATTAGTTCATCAGTAAGTATTCCAGTGTTTCTGAAAGGCATGCCTCTATGTTTGACATAACTGCTATGTCGCTATTACACCTAAGAAATAGCAATGATTCTGTAATATCATCACATATAAAATCATGTTGATATGTTCTTGATCGTCTTGTAACTTTTTAATTGTATATTTGGATCAGGATCTGAATAACACATATTGTGAATGGTTGATAGGTCTCTCTGATTCTACATCTTTTTTTCTGCATGCGTTCTTATTGCATTCTGTTGTTGCTGCTCTTAAAAAATGGGATAGTTAAGGATCTACATATAGCCTACTCCCTGGGGGACGGACAACAGAAAAGTGGGTGAAGGGAAACGTCGGACAGGGCAAGATATGACAAACTAATAATTTATAAATTATCAAGGGTCTATGAGGGAGGGGGAAACAAGAAGGGAGGGGAAAAATGAGCTGATGCAGGGGCTTAGGTGGAGAGCAAATGTTTTGAGAATGATGAGGGCAATGAATGTACAAATGTGCTTTACACAATTGATGTACGTATGGATGGTGATAAGAGTTGTATGAGCTCCTAATAAAACAATATAAAAAATTGGGATAGTTATCCCATAGAGTTTCCAGCAGGCTGACTTTTACAAATTGTGTGTACGTGGGCTTGTTCCTTGTTTAACATCCTTAAAAAAGGTTGTTATGGTTAGGTGCAGTTGAGTTGGCTCCACCTCCTACTGACCCTGTGCACAACAGAGAACAACGCCCCCTGCTCCTATGCCATCCCCACAATCGATGCTTATGTTTGCGCCCATTGCGACAGATGTGATATTAATCTAGCTTGTTGAGAGTTTACCTCCTTTTCATGGAACCTCCTCCTTTAAAAGCATATTAACCTAACACAGGGTTTAAAATCCAATGCTATCAAGTAGATTCTAAGGCATGGCAACTTTACATAGGTTTCTGATGTTGTAAATCTTAACAGGAGCAGATAGCTTCAGCTTTACCCCATGAAGTGGCTGGTGAGTTTGAACCACCAACCTTGCTATTGGCAGTCCAAAGCTTACATGGCAGCACCACCAGGAATTCGTTCTTTCTAATAACATGTCCAAAGTATGTGAAATTAAGTCGGGCCGGGAATTGTTTTGAAGGATCATTATGGCCGTACTTATTCCTATAAAGATGCTTTCATTCTTCCAACAGTCCATATTATACTCAATATTTCCACCAAAACCATAATTCAAATTAATTGAGCTTCCTTGTGCATTGTTGAGCTTTTGGATGCATATGAAGGGATTAAAAGAACCATGGCTAGGGTCAAACAGATGTTAGTACTCAATGTGACAGCTTTGCTCTTTAACACTTTACAGACGTCTTGTGGAGAAGAATTTTCCAATGATATATGTTGTTTGATTTCTTGACTCTTGCTTCTCTGAGCATTGATTATAAATCCACATAAAACGAAATCCTAGACAAGTTCAATCCTTTTTCCTTTTAGTATGATATTGGTGATGGGTCGGTCCAGTCATAAGAATTTTTGTTTGCTTTACAATGAATCCAATTACTGAGAGCTGCAGTCTTTGCTCTTCATTAGCAAGTGTTTCAGGTTCTCCTCACTCTCAGCAAGCAGGTAGTACCATCTGCATGTTGAAGGTTGTTAATAAGCCTTCCACATAAGTCTTGGTGCCATGTTCCTCTTCGTTTACCATGTGCAGTTCCTAGGATGTGGTGACAGCATACAGTCCTGACTCAGACTTTTTCTGATTTTAATCCATTCAGCATCTTCTTGTTCAAAGAACTACCTCTTTGTCTACTTATAGGCTCTGCATGACTACAATGAAGTATTCTAGAATTCCTATTTTTCACAATGTTATCCTTAGCATTTTATGATCCACCCAACAAAACACATGTAAATATCTTTCTGGTGTTTATGCTTTTGACCAAGATAAACTGAGATCAACAATGCTATCCCTCATTCTATCTCATATCCTGAATCTCACTTCAATTTCGGGCAGTTCCCTGTCACCTTTGAGTTATCTTTAGCCGAATTTTACTTGTGATCGATTTAGTGATATAGTTTGGTAATTTCTTTTGTTGGGTAACTTTCTTTTGGAAATGGGTACAAATAGGAATCCCTTTCAGCCAATTGGCCTGGTAACTGTCTTTCAGATTCTTTGACATAGACTCGTGAATGTTTCTAGCATTGTATCAATCTATTGATTATCTTGATAGTGAGTTTTCATACACATCAGAATTATCCGCCTGGGCAATGTAAACATGGACAGCCTGTTAGGTGTCCTTGAGTCTGTTTTGACCCATAGCGACTCGTGTGCAACAGAATGGATCACCAACCTCACAACCATTCTGATGTTTGAACTCATTGCGGAAGTCACATGTCAACCAATCTTGTTAAAGGTCCTCTTTATTGCTGCTCCTCTACTTTATCAAGTGTGATGTCCTTTTCCCGGGAGTGGTCTTTCCTGATTACGTGTCCAAAGGACATGACATAGAGTCTAACAATCCTTGCCTCTCAGTAGCAT